TCTTCTTCTTCTTCTTCTTCTTTTTTTGCCAATCCTGGGCCTTGAACTCTGGACCTGGGCACTGTCCCTAAGCTTCTTTTGCTCAAGGCTAGCACTCTACAAATTGAGCTATAGTACCACTTCTGGCTTTTTCTGTGATTAATTGGGAGTTAAAGAGTCTCCTGGAGCTGGGAATCAGTGACTCATGCCTATAATCCTAGCTACTTAGGAGGCTGAGATCTGAGAATCATGTTTCAAAGCCAGCCAAGGCAGGAAAGTCCATGAGACTCTTATCTCTAAACAATTAGCCTTGAGCTGAAGAGTTCAGGGACTGCACCCAAATCCAGAGTTCAAGCCCACAACAGACCAAAAGAAAGAAAGAAGAACAACCCTCACTGAAGTAAGGAGGCCAGGTCTGGCTGGTGACATCTTGGCCACATGGTGGATGGTAGGGTCTGGCATCTTGTCTTCATGCTGGGGGAAGGACCCCCCACCATCACCTGCCTCCCAGGCAATGGGCATGCCCAGGGACAAGCACTTGGATGATTGGTTACTGAATCTTTCAGTCTAGTAGTGCCTGGGACTAGGAATTTCCTGAGGATCTGCCCCCTGCGCAGACCTATTTAGGCCCAGACCAGCCTAGCTGGCAGGACTCCATGCCACGTGTCTCTGTGATCACATCCTGTGTCCTGTCTCCTCTCCAGTCATCATGGTGTCCCAATTCAGCTCTCCATTGGAGCTGAATTGGCTTGTTGGTATTGTTTTTGTTATTTCTTTTCTCTTTAGCATGTTTCCTAGCTGTGTTATGTGTATTTGCTTGCTGCAGGCCTTTGTAACAACTGGTGACCTGCAGCCTGTTAACTGTATAATAAAGACTCCAATAGTCTATATTTTAAAATGTGGCTTCTGGGATGATTTACCTTACAACATCATGGGGGGCATGCATGAAGCCCTCCCTGGGTTCGATTCCTCAGTACTGTATAAACAGAAAAGGCTGGAAGTGGTGCTGTGGCTCAAGTGGTAGAGTGCTAGCCTTGTGCAAAAGAAGTGCAGGGCAGGCCCTGAGTTCAAGCCCCAGGACTAGCTAAAAAAAAAAGTCTCGTGGACTTTCCTACCTGCTCTGGCTCTGAACTGCAGATCCTCAGATCTCAACCTCCTGAGTACCTAGTATTACAAGCATGAGCTACAGCCAACTGCCATTGTCCTTGAGCTTTTGTACTCAAGGCTAGTGCAATACCACTTGAGCCCCAGCCCTGCTTCCAGTTTTTTGGTGGTTAACAGACTTTCCTTCCCTGGCTGGCTTTGACCTGTGATCCTTAGATCTCAGCCTCTGGAGTTGCTTGGATCAGAGCTCAGCTAAGCTTTTATTGGTTGAAGTTTTTGCCCAGGAAAATTTGGAATCACAATCTTCCCAATCTGTACCTCTTAAGTAACTTAGATTACAGGCATAAACCACTGCACCTGGCCCATTCTTTTTAAAAGAGCAGCAATCCCAAAACAATTCTACATCGAAATTTGTAATCTGGGAGCCATTTTCAGCTAAGTTCTCTTCCTCATTCTTCACATCCAGCCTTTCACCAAATATGATTGACTGTATTTTTTTAAACAAAACATTTTTATTATTATAAATGTGATGTACAGAGGGGTTACAGGTGAAGAGTATATTTCTTTTTTGGACAGTGTCATCCTGTATTATTTTAAAATGCTTTGAATCCAGCCACTACCATCTAGATTTGGTTATCACCTAACTGTACTTCTGTCTTTCCTCTTCATACCACCGTATTAGATATATCTTTCCAGAGATGTGACCTACATGACCACTTCCCTTTACAGTTTCTAAATTTGAGATATTTTCCCTATTGATTACAAAATAGAGTATAATTTTTTATTTTATTCATTTACTTATTTGCCAATCCTGGGGCTTGAACTCAGGCCTGGGCACTGTCTCTGAGCTTCTTTGCTCAAGGCTAGCACTCTACCACTTGAGCTACAGCACCACTTCTGGCTTTTTCTGCTTATGCGGTATGGAGGAATGGAACCCAGGGCTTCATGCATGCTAGATAAGCACTCTACAACTAAGCCATATTCTCAGCCCAACTTCCAACTTTTTTTTTTTTGAGATATTTTTTGTTTTTGTTTTTTCGGTCGTGGGCCTGAACTCTGGGCCTGGGCACTGTCCCTCAGCTCTTCAGCTCAAGGCTAGCGCTCTACTACTTGAGCCGCAGTGCCACTTCCAGCTTTTTCTGCTTATGTGGTGCTGAGGAATCGAACCCAGGGCCTCATGCATGCAAGGACAAGCACTGTACCACTGAGCCACCTTCCCAGCCCCGCAACTTCCAACTTTTTAAGGGTAGATTATTAGAGATAAGTGTCTTACAGACTTTCCTGCCAACGCTGGCTTTGAACTGTGATCCTCTGATCTCAGCTTTCTGAGTGGCTAGGATTACAGGAGCCCAGTTTATAATTTCTTTATAAGACTTTTAGAAAATCAAGCTCTGTCTCCAATCTATCTCATCTTCTTTCAACCA